GATAAGCAAAATGGAAAGTCATACGATTCTGGTAGTGATCAAAATGGTTTTGTGCAGAACTCCGATGGTAACGATTCTCAACGCATAAGAGAAGAATTCTGGAATCAATTGTTTATAAAACATGATATTAACAAAAAGAATAACATTCCTGTCGTTCCTATTGAAGAACCAAAACAGACAGACATTCCCTTTGAATTACAGTCAAAAACATTTGACAAAAGCAAAGATATTAATGACAATTCTGATGTCCACCATATGATGCAAAGTGAGCCCATCAACCAAATGCCTATTGAAATACCAGTTGCAACGACTCCGACCACAATGTTTGTCATAAACGCCCCCACATTTGATAATAGCGATAAACAATGGACTATCGGTGGACAGCAATACACTTCCGATATTAGCTCTAATGACAAACAGGAGTTGAACAGAGAAAAGGGTGGCGACAACACTGACTATTATCCTAAAGTTAGTCAATATAGCTTTGGGTTTGAAGTCTGGTATCTTCGCTTTACAAGATTTCTCCGGTAAGTACACTCTTAGTGAATACTAGCTGGTAAACTCCCTTATTATATGCGGTTTCTGATAATATTGCATATGAATTGTCGTTACGTTGAGCCCCGATCCGGACAAATGGTATTTGAGTTCCCGTTGGAGTTGAATCGTTGCGGAACTACTCTTACCGATGAATATAATACAAAAGGAGAGACTGTTTTAGAAAATACACTCATTTTCCAACACGAGCCCATCTTTCAGGAGATTTGGGATTCTGTGCGTCACTTGAGGTGCGCCTGGAGTGGGGTTTTCGATAAGACAGTGCAGACTTCGGTTAATGTCGGTCCGCACGACACACAAACCATTACATATAGAGGCGATTCCGTCGAGAGTGTGATGGATGTGCAGTACGGACACGGACTCAAAGCGGCACCCGTTCAGGGCTTTGTCCGCATCGGCGATGACTTGACACTCTCGGTGTCACTCATCGGTTCCGATGCTAATAATTTTGATGTTCGCGTTAAGGACTGTATCGCACACGACGGAGACGTCAGGAATTCTGTTCAATTGACTGATGAAAACGGATGCGTTCTCAAGAGGAAGCTATTGGGCAGTTGGCAGAAGCAGAGGAACAACGATCACTCCACTGTCACCACATTCTCATATATGCAGGCCTTCAGGTTTCCCGAAAAGATGGAGGTTTACTTTGAATGCAATATCGAAATCTGCAAATACGAGTGTCGGACCTACTGTTCAGATGGAGACGAGATTCTCTTCAGAAGTCAAAGCGAAAGAAATGAGGAAACAATTAAAACCAGAGCTAAGAGAACGCTCAACAGGTTTGACAATAAAGTGAATGACAGTCGTGTGGAACCGATTCGACTTCTTCGTGGAATCCGAGTCGTCGTCCCAAATGATCTCGATTTCATTGAATCCCAGAATTTAAGCGCAAAAGGCTTCTTACTCAAAGAGAATCTTTTATTGCTATTGAAAACACAAGGCTAGTCATTAAATCAATATTGATATTATTACCAGAAGAATAGGGATTAATGAAATAGAGAGTAAAGAACACATAATACCATGAAATGCTGTCAATTCAAACATATCACCCAAAAGTCTTCACCATTTTTCAGATAATGTGTTAATTGTATTTTTAATTATTAATCAATTTTTCTCAAAATTATGTAAATAATAAAAAAATTGTTTTAAAACCACTGTTCAGTATATCGGTTAATATGCAATAAACATTATAACGTCATAATAGAAACACAGTTGGTAAGTAAATGTTGAATTAATTTTAATTAATGGTTTAATTATACAGTACTGTATAATATTCTAACACTAATTTGATCTCAAGGTATTTGCTATCATTTCTAGAATTTGAAATGTAAATACATATCAAAGTTGTCGAGAATCTCAACTTGCAATAATTGCCATCAGATTTTAGACTATATTAACAAATATTAAGCAATCATTAAAAAATTTAATGAATTTCAAATAAGCCTTCAATTCAGACACATAAGGATGTGGAGAGAGAGAGAGAGAGAGAGAGAGAGAGAGAGAGAATGTATTACCAGTCCTATCGTTTTCCTGTCCCTAAGAATTTGCATTTTTCAATAGTCTTTTAGAATTCAAAATTCTTATTAAAAATATTGGCCAAAAAAGTTGATTTTCAATTTATTAACATAAAAGTAGTTATTGACTAATCAATTCATTTCACAAAACTAAAACAATATTTATGTGCAGTTTTTAAAGAGTTTTAACAAGATTGCGTTTAAAACAATGTCTTGTAACAGTAAAGTATTACAAGTGTCTAAATATGTATTCTAATTATATTTGAACTAAAAGAAATGAGACAGAATTAAGTGCAGTAATGTATTTCTTATGAGAGACTCAGAGTTGTGATAACTTAAAAAGTTCTTATCCAATTTTAACAAACTATATACCAAATTGTTTAGAATAAAATATGACTCGAGATGTATATCAGGAATTTTGTTGTAAACAGAGTGAATACGAGTAATGTGCTATAAAGTGATCAAATTTACATAATTTCAATTGCTTGCAATTTAAAATATACATATTCAATTTTAACAATCAGAGTATCAAATTGTTCATAATTAAATATTGAAACGCACACTTTATTAGATTTACAATATTTTAATTTTACACTGCATGAATAAGGTAGTTATTTGTTCTAGATCGATTTATAGATGTTATAGTTAAAAAATCAAAAATTTAAAAAATTACTTTTTGTATTATTCAATTATGAACAATTTGATATACTGATTATTAAAATTGAACACGTAAATTTTAAATGGCAAGCAATTGAAATTATGTAAATTTGATCACTTTATAGCACATTACTCGTATTCACTCTGTTTACAACAAAATTCCTGATATACATCTCGAGTCATATTTTATTTCAAACAATTTGGTATATAGTTTGCTAAAATTGGATAAGAACTTTTTAAGTTATCACAACTTTGAGTCTCTCATAAGAAATACATTATTGCACTTAATTCTGTCTCATTTCTTTTAGTTCATTTGTAATCGTCATTGTTTTATTAAATTGACAATTATTAAAATTGTTTATAATACAGTATGTGGTATAATATGTGTAGATCTCTAATAGAGATTAAGTGATAATAAATTATTGCTAAATTTCAAGAATCTCAATCTTCAGTTAAAAAGTAACCTAAAAATGCAAAATACTGTACAGTTGTTCATAGGATTAGCCATATTTAACTAAAAAGTGTCCATGATACATCCTATGACTAGTGGATTAAGAAGTTTTGCCATCAAATTTGCCAAATATTTAGATGATATGAGTTGACAATAATCATAAGCACACAAATAGTGACAAAACAGTGTGAAATGCTTTGCATTGTCTTTCAACTAATATTTAAATCATATTTAGTTTAAAGATTGGGTTTGAAAGAGGGATTATAATAGTGTGACCAACCGTACACTATTAGGCAGTACATTACACTATTTGAGACCTCTGTACACTATTTTCAGACTGTACACTATTGTACACTATTTGTAAATTATTCTTATAAATATATAAAAACCATAAACTGGATTTATTTTTACTAAACGTATATAAAATATATTTATTTTTGTATTATTAGTGTCCAATTAATACAAAACTCATTATATTAGTTACACATTATTTACATCAAATTGATACAAAACTCATTGTATTATTTTCACATTATTTATATCAAATTGATACAAATCTCATTATATTAGTNATTAGTTACACATTATTTACATCAAATTGATACAAAACTCATTGTATTATTTTCACATTATTTATATCAAATTGATACAAATCTCATTATATTAGTTACACATTATTTACATCAAATTGATACAAAACTCATTGTATTATTTTCACATTATTTATATCAAATTGATACAAATCTCATTATATTAGTTACACATTATTTACACCGTTTGAATTTCGTTAAAAAATTTATGTACACTATTTGTACACTATTTTAGCCTAAATTTTATCATTTTGTACACTATTGGTCAAAACCGAGTTGGTCACACTAACTATACTATAAAATATTAACAATTTATGAAATATTAATCGTTCTGTTGTTTGCTTTGGCTTAAGATTTGTGCCAACGGTTTAACTTTTGGATACATTTACAAAGTATTCAATTCATTGCATTTTCTATGCATTTAATCTCAAAGAATTACTTGAATAAATGGCATACAAATGATGTACAATATATTAAGGTAATTTTATAAATGAAAATCTGACTATTGTTAACAGTAGTATTATAATTAGTGATGTTATTTTACACGTAATATTCATTTCAATCTTACGTTACATGTAATATTACGTAATTTACCGTAATTCTGAAACATTCAACTTTTAATTCAATCAATCAAATAATTAATGTAAATATTAGTGTAAATTAACTATGAATTAGCTATTAATGAAAGATTAATTACATTCAATTCAAATTAAAAACAAAATCTTCAAACATTTTTTAGCGAAATAACAAGTAATGGTCATTTGTAAGTTACATGTATGATTCAAATTTTGCTTTAAATTACGTCTGTAAGATATGTAAGCTACATTCGTGACAAAACTAATTATAATGTACTTTATTATACTTGTATATGTATATGTGTAATGGTTGTTGGGATTTAGTTGATAACAGATTAGTTGACAACATAGAGATAAGTTTAACATTAAGTCTACGGACAATGTAATTTCGTATTGTTTGATAGCAGAGTAGTTGACAGCTTAGCTATTTGACTGTATTAGTTAATAGAATTAACATGCACAATTTTGTGACATCAATTTCAAAAACGGTTCTCTGCTATTTAACATTGATTTATAAGCTGTATATAAATTAGTGAATTAATTATAGTAACTCATTGCTAACATTGCAATCACTCTCTAATTAATGATGTAAACAATAATTGACTCAAACATTGTCTATAAATATAGTTGAAAACGACTTTAACCTAAATTATAATTAATTCTTATAAGATATACAGTACTCACAATTCTGTGGCGAAAGTTGGGATATCATTGGGAATATCTTTGAGAGCTCTTTTAGAACAGTCGACAACAGTTCCATCGCAAACACAATTGTCGGGACATTTAGTGTCTACTAAACACTGATTGGCGTATTTAGTCCTCAATTCTTCCATAGCTTTACATTTAAACTTTTCAGGAGATAATTGAGAGATCCGTTTGCGAGCATTGCGTTTCGGTTCTTCACAGCGCGCTTCCGATGTCTCCAGTGTTGGCCTCACTTCCAGGTAATCGGCCAACCATTTCAGGTTACAATCGCATATGAATGGGTTGCGGCCCAAATGACTACCATAAACACATCAAACACATAAACACCAATATTGCCGTATTGTCAACATGTAACATGTTATCAAGTTCTATACATACAGTGTTTGTATATTAGTTAGCGTTGCAAACACTCCTTCAGCTAATGATTGGATGTTATTGTCATAAAGAGATCTGAAAAGACATAACAAAGTCATCAACACTTATTGTATCATAAGTTGTATCATATATTGTATCATAAAAAACATTAAATAACTCACAATAAGTTAAGATTCCGTAAGTCAGAGAATGCTTCGCTCCGAATACACGTAATCCGATTAGTGTTGAGTAAACTATACATTCAATCATTGTCTGTAATTAACGTAATTATCATTAATTGCACTCAACTTACAGGACTTGTAGAGAAGAGAGTCCCTTAAACACGCCTTCGGGTAAATCCTTTATTTGATTACCAAATAAAAATCTAATCAAAAGTATAGTTAAATTAATCATTAATTATTTCCATTTGATGACAATAACTGACAATGAATTGAGAGATTTAAGTCCAGAGAAAGCGTTGGAAGAAATTTTGGTGATATTATTCTTGGATATGTCACTAATGAAAACAAAGTGATTATTAAACAATCAACATGGTCAATTCACAATCATCATATTGCAATATATGTCACTTTGATTTACATTCTGGTTAATCGTTTGAATGGTGTGAATGCTTTGTGAGGCACTTCCGTCAACATATTCTGCTCCAGACGTCTGCAATCAATACAATCAAAACATTGTCCATATTCTCCAAATATAGACCACTCATACAAGTGGTGATACTCACAGACACTCCACTTCTTGTGGTATGTTTGGAGGTATTCGTGTTAACCCGCGATGAGAGCAGTCGACAGTCACACCATTGCAGTCACACTCTGAGGGACACTGAGACATAGATGTGCCGAAATCACCATCTGATGCCATCACCGATGCCACCACTACCACCATCAGCAGCACTGCCATCATCTCAGACGAGGCAGACATTACAACTCAATGCAAACACAATGAGAGCACAACTCTATTCAATACATCAAAACATACTATCATTTGATTGAAAACAAGTTCATCACAACTTTGTATACACAGAACAGCGAACAGAGAGCACACACTGTCTGTACACTGAATGAGCGGACACTCACTCTACAAACCGTTATACTATGCCATACATTGTACAATGATTGTACTGTACATTCTCGTCATAACTAGTCTCTCTTTGCCGGGAATTTTACAATCAAGGATTAACAGTACTATTAATGGTGATTATATACCAGGGCTCAACAAAAGTGATAAATATAGTGCTTTTATTTTGATCACTTTTTGCGCATTTTAACATATATTGACCAAATTGACCAAGTCTATTTTATTTTTGTAAAATAAGACCTAAAACTTTAGAAATACAGCCTTTGAGTAGAGTTTTGTTAAAATGCTGTGTGAATACTAAAGACTTGAACAAATAGGGTGACCACCAAAACTCCTCGTAAAAAAGGACGACTGGTTTTAAAATAATCATTAAAAACGGACACAAAACGGACGCAAATTTTCTTATCTCTATGCATTTTCCTTTGTTTTGTCACACATTTTAAATGAGTATTTAAATGAAAACACTTTTAACAAACAAAATGATTTGATTTTTATAATAGTTGTCTGTTAACAACTACAACATTTTTAATATATATTTCTACTCTATTATTATTATTATTATTTACTGTTTGTGCTGTAATGTCTAAACTTTACAGCTATACAGCGCAACAGTGCAGAGCAATCAATGATATTTCCCATATTTTAAAACATATTAACCTTTTTATATTGAAATTATTAAAATTCAAAAAAGGACGCGTCCTTCACGACTCTGTTTTGAGAAGTCTAAAAACGGACAAAACCCATAAAAAGGACGTTCTGGTCACCCTAAGCACAAAGTTAGCGTAATATGTAATAGTCCTGGTATTGCAGTGAATACGGTAAACAAATGCTAATGGCAGGGATTAGCTAGGACATGTTTTAATTAGGTCTTCAATTGTCATTGAATATGATATATGATTCCCTGACAAATCTAATATAATGTAGATAGCATTTTGCGATGCTTGTCAATTATTATTACTATAAAAATATCATTATTTCATAATATTACTGAATAAAATACATTTCAAAATCATTAACATAAATAATTATTAAGTAAAAATTTAAATATAATTCCCGATATTTCCCGATTTTAAACATTTTATTATGAATACCACTCCCGACTGAACAACACTACTCACAAAAGTCACAATCACTGACATCTGTTGAATCTGTCAGCAAATTCTCTCAACCAATCGTTTCCTTTTAAATCACCACAAAAGTAACACATCATTTATGGCTAGATATACAGTACATACAGCTGTATGATATACAGTCACAATACAGCTATAAAATAGATCTGTGCACAATACAGTTGTAATCAAATATAAGGATATTAAATTATAAGATTAAACCCGAAATACTGTCAAAAATTGTTTTAAATTTTCCTGTTATAACTTATAAGATATGTCGTCATACAAATATCCCAACAATTCATACCTAAAATAAATCAGTTTTAGAAAAACATATCACATTAAATCTTTAAACAAAAATTTAAAATATATTTACTTGTTTCAATAATAGATATTACCTTTCAATATATTTATTAAAACTATTTAAAATAAACAATTAAATTGAAAGTTGATGTCTACGAATTATAATAAAAATAATAATAAATAATTTAAAAATGCTGTTAAATATTTTAAACTTGTTTTGAATTAAAAATATATTATCTATATCTAGACGCATACTGTGTCCATTCTTAAATACACAATCTCGTAATTGTTAATTAAATGTGTGCTTCCATAATATGGAATGAGTGCATATTACTGTAATGATAATATCTAACCACCAACTTTAAAATGGTTTAGAAACTTAAAGTGTCACAGTGTTTATAGTTTAATACTGATAAGCCTTAGTGTTGTGCTACCATTTTATCTCTCTGAATCTGGTTAACCTAAAAAGAAATTGAACATCAACATAATACTGTATCATGAAATATAAAAAATATTTTAAGGAACAACAATTATTTGTTATAATAGGGAAATACTGTAATAACTTACAATTTGTATTGCAAAGACCGACAATTCATAAATACAGGACACTATTTGCATGTGTTGTGCCCTTTGCTGTCATGCGTTTTATATGTAATAGACGTTCACTGCATATGTAGTACCAAATGGTATCCCCCCTCACAATAATGTCACGTCATTTCATAACAGTTTATTTGTTAATATAAAACACACTTTGCATTGACTGTGAAGTGAATTTGTAATCATATTATTATTAATATTAATTTAGTTATTATTAAATTGTATGAATGATTAACTAATTGCTGTAATTATAGTGTAATATTAGGTGCATTGCATTGAACGGAAATGTTTGGCCAAAGCTATACATTGTTTCTCATATTTGTGTCCATCGGTTGTGTATTGAGTGGCAGTGAAGATACACCTCATGTGGTGTCGAGTGATTCGCCGACTGATGGCCACGACATGAGTGATGGCATAGATGTGAGTGACGGCAGTGAGGGAAGCGGTGCGAGTGATGTGTCTGTGGATCAGTCCATACTCTACTCGACTCCAAACATTGATAACTACTATATCTACGAACACTTCGACGACTCCGACGACTTCGAGAACCGATGGATCCGTTCGGAGACGAGTAAATCGGATTCACAAGAGTTGAAATATGATGGCCAGTGGGCTCTCACGCCCACCACTACAGCCCTTAAAGGTATGGCACAACACGCGAGTCAACATTCAGATGACATCTAATTTTAGATGTTTTGGCTAACATTCAAACTTCAATTACACATACAGTTAGATTTTAGTACCAATTGTACAGCAATTGTAGACCAGTTAATAGTGAGACACAATTTTACACATTGTTTTAATTGTGAAATTGTTATTTATCTACAATTATACTGATTTAAAGTTATTTGAATTTATATCAACTGTTAATACACTTTAACGTTAGAAGTGCTAATTGACTTAATTAACTTTGAAACAAATCTTTATACTTGTGTATTAATTGTTTATTTAATTGAATACTATATACACTGTATTATATATTGAATTAGTAAATGTGATAATCACTGATTGATTGATAAATAATCTCTTTTCATAATTTATAGGCGATTCGTGTCTTATAGTGAAGAGCAGAGCCAAACATCACGCGATTAGCGCTAAATTGGATAAAGTATTTAAATTTAATGCCAAACCACTGGTACTTCAATACGAGGTTTGCGCAACACTATTGACTGCATTAACGTTAACTTAATAGAAATGGTTGACAAACTTTAGGTACAATTCCGTAATGGCCAGGAATGTGGCGGCGCTTACCTCAAGCTCTTGTCCTCTCCGAGCGGTGATCTCAAGAAACTGAACGACAAGAGCCAGTATTCACTGATGTTCGGACCCGACAAGTGTGGCAATGATATGAAACTACACCTCATTTTCCAACACAAGAACCCCAAGAATGGATCACTGAATGAAAAGCATTGGAAACTCACCAGTAATGTCAATAAGATTGATGAGGTATTATCAATGCACCAATTGACCAATTGACCCTGTACTGTATATGTACTGTATGTAATGGATTGTGATTATGACTTGAAACAGGTGTTTAAAGACAATCGCTGGCATTTGATTCGTCTTGAGATCAATACAGACAACACATTCGAAGTGACTTTAGATAAGAGTTCTGTTGGGAAGGGATCCTTATTGGAAGACTTCAACCCACCTGTAAATCCGCCCAAATTTATTGACGATCCCAACGATAGTAAACCCGAAGACTGGGACGAAAGGGAGAAGATAGCAGATCCCGACGCAGGTATGGCTCAATTGATACCAATTGAATGGAGGTATTGGTATAACTGATTTCATGAATTGATTTGAATGCCAGTCAAACCCGACGATTGGGATGAGAGTGAACCGCGAAAGATAGCCGATCCTAAGGCTGCTAAACCAGACGATTGGGCTGAAGACGAACCCGAAATGATTGCTGATTCTGAAGCTAAACAGCCCTCTGATTGGGACACAGAAATGGATGGCGAATGGGAGGCACCACTTATTGCTAACCCTCGTTGCGCTCAGTTATCGGGATGTGGCAAATGGTCGGCCCCTCTCATTGATAATGATAGGTTTAAAGGCAAATGGAGGGCCCCTTTGATTGTGAACCCTTTGTACAAGGGCAAATGGGCTCCAAAGAAAATACCAAATCCTGATTTCTATCAAGATTCCAACCCTTTCCGCACTCTATTACCCATTGACGCCGGTATTTATTGCACACATTGTGTGACATTTAATTGATATAACAACACATTTAGTTGCGTTCGAGTTGTGGACTATTTCTGATGGCATTGCTTTCGACAACATTTTGATCACCGATGACCCGGACGTTGGCCGACACATCTCGGCTCTCACTTATCAAATCAAGAAAGAAATGTCCGATTCTGAGACCGATAACATACTCATCAAAGCTGTCAAGTATACTAACAAATATCCATGGCTTTGGGCCGTCTATATCACGGCAGTGGGTATACCAGTCGTGCTATTCATAGCATTTTGTTGTGTTTCGCCAACAAAACGGCCCGAAAGCACCGAAAGTACGGCTACCAGTGGTTTATCTGCAGAATCCAGTTCTGCAAGTATTGCTCAAAACAAAAAGACAGACGAATCCACTCCTGACGACATACTCGCCGAAGAAGACGAACAAACGGTTAGTTGACATTCACTTTATTGTGATTGTTTGTGATTTCTTAGACCAATTATATGTGATTTCTATGACAACAGACACAAGAATTGGACGCAGAGTTAGACGAAGAAGAAGAAGAAGGACCCGATGACGGCGATCAAGACGTCGACGACGCCGACAACACTGAGGAAGAGTCCGACCAAGAAATACCCGAACCAGAGGTTCGCTCGTCTCCTCGTTTACGCAAAACTCGTTCGCGAAAGGAGTAGTCATTCATTCATTTAATTTAATTTTAGTTACATTTAGAAATAAATTTGGAGAGAATTTCACATATTTTGCAAATACTTTGATTGTATTTTTAAGTCAGCAACTAGTGCTAGGTAACATTTTGTAATTCTCTCTCTCTCTCTCTCTCTCTGGACTTAAATCTCTCAATTCATTGTCAGTTATTGTCATCAAATTGGAAATAATTAATGATTAAATTAACTATACTTTT